AACTTTCAGTTTGACCCTCGTATATTTTCAAATTTTAGAATTATTTTTTTATTATATTGTTTATAAGTGGCCAGTTCTAAGAACTTTCAGTTTGACCCTCGTATAAGATATTGGTATTTTCTGACAAAATTATAATAATAGGGGAGCCCACGATGCTAAATCGGGATTTACTCGAGCGTCATAGAGACCTATTGGGTTGCGAAGCTTAGATGATAACAAAAAAAAAGCCATATAATATATACCTTTTCATCGGTGGGGGAAGCGGCTATAGATTTTTAAAAATGTAAAAAAAAAACTGTTGTATGGACATACTCGAGCGCGTAAGATATTAATATCATCCATGTCCTACGCATTTTTAAAAACTGTCGTATGTTAATCTGATCGTTTCAATGATGGGGGTGGTTATACGTGGGGGTTGAAAATGAAAAAAAAAATTAATCGAGCGCGTCAGATTTTTTGAGGGGATGTTAAGTGAACCTAAAAAAAAGCTCTCATATAATAACTGACGATTTGGATGTAACGCAAACGCGTGACCATTATTAGAATATGCAAAAAAAAATCGCCATTTTGAAATACTCAAGCGCGTCAGATTAAGATATATATGGTTCATCTTTATGCCCCAGACGTGATATCTCATAATCTGACGATTATCTGAAGGGATTTACTTAATCTGACAATTATTTTTTTTAATTTTTTCAAATTATTGATCTTAATTAAACAGAAAAGCACCGGAGTTAGCATGCAAATAAAAAAGTGTATGTTTTTTTTATGTAGAATATTTATATTTATAAGAAAATGATTATATGAAAATTTTATTTTTACAGTAATTTTTATTAATTATCATCTTCCTCTTCTTCTCTTAGTAAATATGTAAAAAGTTTGATTCACAAAATTTCCATTAAAATAACAAAATAAGCAAAAACGTTGGAAATACGATGTAAACAATATCACGCCACGAACGAGTCTGTGTCATCAGCTGTCATAGCGTCATGGCGTCATGGCAACCGAAACCAGAGTGGGTACGGAGTGAGAGAGTAATAGATAGAAAAAGAGTGAGAGAGAAATAGTGATGCGGTAAAGGAAATATAGGTATCACGTAGCTGTGCAGCTAAATTAAATCTTATCGATGAATTTTTATTACTTCAGCTTGTGAAAATCGTCAGATTATATATTTTTCGTAATCCTTGAATGATTCCCTTCAAAAAAAAAAAAATGGCCACGCTCGAGGATGTCAAAGTGACGTTTTTTTTTACAACTTTGTAGCCTACCCCCTTCTTTACGTCACTCTCAAATTGTCAGATTAGTGGTATGTACACCTTTTACCATGTAACTAGCTCACCTTACCTTAATCTGACGCGCTCGAGATTTTCAGATGATCAATTTTTTTTACTAATCTGATTCTTCGTCCTTGCCAGGCGGCCATTTTTATAGGGCTCATACTTGGTCCAGGCACTTAACTGGGTACAGGGTATCTTCCCTGTATATTAATCTGCCGCGCTTTAGTAAATCCCGAAATCTCCGCTTCGGCTCCCCTACTATAACAATTACAAAATAGTTATCTTAGAATAAAAAATTGGAGCAAAAAGGTAAGTCAATTTTGAAGCAATAACAATAAATACAAAAACTGTATCAATATTCGAAATCTAGGTATGGTCGTGGATAATTTTAAGAATTATTACTGATAGAATAATTTTAGTTTTTATACATCTGCAGTTTTACCGATTTGTCAACCATATAAATTTAAACCAAGACTATTCGAATGGCCCATATTGGCGTAGATAAAGCTATTACACGGTAGTTTTTTATTCTATTGAACTTTTTATATTTTATTAGTCTGGGTTTCACTAGAATTAATATCATTATACCTAAGAAATTGAGTAGTCATGTCTCAAATAAGGAGCAAATATACCCGATTTTATTAAATAAGATTGACCATGAAATTGTTTATTAAATGTAGAAAGGGAATTTTAAAAGAAAAAACAATCTGCTTAGAATATAATAACGAAATGACATTTATTATTTAATTTGATTATTAAAATAATGATATTATTTCTATAGTTTTAATTATATTGCCCTCTCATATTGGGATTTTTCATATTGCGAAGGGCATTTTTTCATAATACTGGGTTAATCACTTAGTCCATGATACACTATATAAGTCGATATCAGCTAGATCACAACGGCATACTAATGACTTCATTTTGTAAACTACTTATAGTGTTTGGGAATCGGGACTCTCTTCATTTCTTTTTTTAAGTATTTACTAAAACGACAGCCAAAATTGATTTTAGTATTTTTATGTTATTTTTTCTTACTCTTGAGATTTTCTTTGCAAAAACTGATGACTCCTACCCCCGATTCCAATGATATGGCTGATTGCAAGGCTACCACAATCCGTCCAAAACATTTCAAAATCGATTGTCGCATATATAAAACGATTCATCTTTGCTCGGCAATTCCACGATCCAGAATTAACAAAACACGATCCATCTTGTATTTCACATAGGCACCATCCACCGTAACCACGTGCGAACAGGAGAAGGATGGATTTATTATCCTTTTCGTGTAAATGTAGCTATAAATAAAAACTTACGAATAATTAACCTCTATAAATAACCAACTAGAAACAAGCAAGAAACTAAAATATTTACAAGTAAGATCTTTTCCAAAGAGTACTTTAATGATCTGTCTCGTCTCAAGATTTTGATATAATTTAATAATCTATGGTCTTACTACAAAAATCATGTCCATAAGTCAGTAGCTATATAACGAAGCGTTACCGATCTTCCATCCGTTAGTAACAGAACATCAGTAACTTATCATTAGCGTTTCATAGAAACAATTTTAAATTACAACTGGTAGAAAATGTTACAGATGTTAGTAAATGCATAGCTTCTTGATTATTGGAATCGATAAAGAAGGTTTATATTACAATATCTGTGATGATGAGCTGATAAGAGTAGACTAGGACCAAAATTATGTATTCAAAGTTAAAGTACCTAAAAGTAAAAAAAAACTAATGTAAAAATGAGCTTATCTTTGACAGTTAGTTTACGAGGGTCAAACTGAAAGTTCTTAGAAAATCAAAAACTGATTACATTAGCCAGTTATTAGTTTTATTATATCTTTTCAAAATATTGTCCATTCACGTCAATACACCGCTGCATGCGATGGAACCACTGGGAAAAGCACTTTGCCCACTCGTCCTTAGGGGTCTCTTCAATGGCATCGCGATACGCAGCCACCGCTTCTTCAGCATTCATAAACCGCTTTCCTTTAAGTTTTTCTTTAATTTTTGGAAATAAATAAAAATCACAAGGCGCGAGGTCGGGGCTATACGGCGGGTGACCCAGTAATTCAACGTTTGATGTCGCCAAATAGTCGATCGTTCGCTTGGCGGTGTGCGACGAGGCGTTGTCGTGAAGGAGGATCCTACTGCGAGGTCGTTTCTCTCGAACTTTTTCCAAGACAAGTGGCAAACAATTGGTAGTGTACCATTCTGCAGAAACTGTTTTTTGATCCTCTAACACAATTGTTGCAAAATGACCTATCCTTCCAAAGAACGAGGCCACCATTTTTTTTCCCGCACTTCGATCTCTCTTCACTTTAGTTGGCAACTCCTCGAAAGGAAACACCCACTGAGCAGATTGTCTTTTAGTTTTAGGATCATAACAGTAAATCCAGCTTTCGTCACCTGTTAGTATGTCGAACACAGCATTTGAGTCACCTCCGTTAAATCTTTCAATCATTTTACGACACCAATCCACACGATGGAGTTTTTGAGCCTCAGTCAAATTATGAGGTATCCACCGGGCGCAAAGCTTCCTGACCGCTAAATGTTCGTGGAGGATTTTGTGCACTTGACTCATACCGATGCCTAAGCTTGTCCGAATCTGTTGATAGGTCACTCTTTTGTCAGTCTCTATCATACGCCGCACAACACAGATGTTATCTTCAGTCGTCGCCGTAGAAGGCCGTCCCTCACGTAAATCATCAGTGAGATTAGTGCGACCACGTTTAAACTCATTAAACCAGTTGTAAACAGTCGCACGAGATGGGGCTTCATCGTGAAAGGCCAATCGTAGTCTATCATAACTTTCTTGTTGACTTAAATGACATCGAAAGTCATAAAAAATCATTGCACGAAAATTTTCTCGTGTTAAATTCATGATGACGTGACACAGACAATTTTCAATTTGCCGCCAAATCGTAAAACAAATGACAAATGAATGAAATATATACTCAGTAATATTGGCAAAGAGTTATATTTTCAAATTTAAGAATTATTTTTTTATTATATTGTTTATAAGTGGCCAGTTCTAAGAACTTTCAGTTTGACCCTCGTAACAATATATTCACAGAGATTTACGATTCATGAGATATAAACATTTACATAGGAACACTTATAAATCCCATTCTCATCTTTTTGTTGATGACAGAATTATCAGATCGGCTTTAAATCTTTCAAAATAATCATTATATACATATTTGATATAACATGCATGTGTATAGTCAACAGCACGTCAGCTTGCACAAATCTGTCAAATTTCTCCGCTCGATTGTCTCAACTGAGTCTAAAATCAACTGCAGTAATTATCATTTTGTGTTTACCTAGCGTGTCAGCGTATGTATAAAGTTTTGAATTAACTTTGCACTTACATGATCTGGTGATTATTTAAATGTAAATGTTATATATAAGATTGGTACAAATAAGGAATAAAAATCATATATAATGCGAAAAATACATGGAAACATAAACATAACGTATAGTTTACGCATTCACTGTTTCTAGTGAAACCGGCCATACACAGTACTATCCGCCACTGTTTCCGTGTGTGCTACCAATAAAACTGTATCTAATCATAAATTCCAACCGGTACACAATACATCATCGGAAGTTTATTAAACAGATCATTCGGTCCAGTGGCCAGTGCCGCCACACCAGCTGTCTGGCACTAGCAAGTAAAAGGATACAAAACTCTTTAGAACTTTACGCCTTTAGTTACCGCGTGAACGGCTGCCAGTTCGCACGCCGTTGCCTACCCGTTAACTTTTTAATTTCGTGTGAATAAAAGTTCTAAACGTGACAGTTACTCTATATTATCTGTGGACTATTGGAGGGAAAAGCACATATTTATTGTGAGATTTATGTGATAAACTTTTATCAACAGTATAGGTAAGATATATTATTATGTTGTTTAAAATCACTGCCGAATTTATTTGACATTCAATTTTATGCCATTCAAGTAATATCTCAAATTAAATATTAAACTAAGTGTACAGAGTACATATTAGTATTAGTGCATTACGAAACATATATTTTAATATAAGAACTCTTATGCTTTGAACATGAAATTAATGCAAAGTAATCTAGTTCATTTTTCAATAATGATCTAGCCGAACTTTTTATTAGTCAGATTTCAGTTTTCTTTTCGTCATTTTTATTTTTATTCAGTTTTGCGGGTATGTAAACATAACGCTATTTTTTGTTTTTTTTTATTTATTTATAGATTTTTATGAATACTGAAGCTTACTATAAAATAGGTTTAAGCATAACTATGTCATGTTAACATATGTATAATTATAATAATATTTTACAAAGTCACTGTTAGTTTTAAGTCTGAAGTGGTACAACCTTGAGGCCGTGTCGCCAATATTTACGCAAACGCTTTTCGTCCAGATCAGACTGGCGTGACACAACTGTATGTACATAAATTTAATTCTAATATAAATATTCAAGCGTGACTTCTACATGAACGTAAATAGTTGGACTGGATTGCACGCACCAACGTAGGTAACCTTTTGTCTAAAGTGCTTTTATGGCATTGTCATCATTTGATTGTGTTTGCGATTATGACAATTGGCTAATCATATATACATATTTACAAATTACTGTACAAATTTGGTAATGTACTAATAAAAGTGCGTTAATTTAACTGACTCTTTAAAATGGAATTGAAGGTAACCTACCCCCAATTTTTTTATGCACTTTTAATATATTTTTTTAAGAATTTTGATTTACATTATTTTTATACCATTAATATGCAAATATGATCATTAAAAAGATTAAATTAATTTTGATAACCACTTATAATGCGTGCAAGATTAAAAGTCAGATACTTTTTTAATAAAAGTAAATAAATAATTACGTAATTTATGATTATATAAACAATGAAAACAGATTTGTGTCATAGGCAAGATGAGATGAAATTAGTTTCTCTTGATATTTGATTATCTACTTTTTTATCATTGTATTATGAAAAATTCCAGCTACCGTCTGTTAGTCTAAGTTCTCAATACCCCTCCCACTCCCTACCCTCTTCTCTTTTATATTACTTATAATAATTTCTATTTAAAAATATGTGTTTGAAATCAACTAAAGTAAGCGATCCATTTGTTGTGTGGGAAGTCATTGAGGAAAAACACTTGGTGCTTATCAAAGCACGCTAAATTAGAGCAGTCAAATTTATTTGAAGCAGTCAACAATGTGGGTGACATTTTTTTAATCTCATTCATGTGTTTTTTGCGAATTAGATATTTACCTAATATTTATTGCATTAATAACTCACGATTTAAGAATTATATAAATATACTGAACTGTTTAGATATATTTCTTGAAACACTTTTATACATAATATAAAAAAACTTCCTGCTATGTTTTTGACAGAATATTAAGAAAGGTATATCTTGGAATACTATAAGTCTAATTTAATATGCGTCTATCGTCATTATGTAAGTTTGCTCGAGTTAATTACTACTGTTAAAGCGATTTTGTATCTTAAAATAGGTATAAATGAAAATTGCTTAAATAGATTATGTCGGTACATTTTGAACAAGCACAAATTTGTTTAAACAAACAATTTACAACTGATATTTTAATTCTACCTTCTCGGTAAATGCTTCGTGAAATTGACATGTGCTATAATGAAAAGATATAGACGTTTTGCGTTCACCCGGAAAGCTCGTTTATATTTTTCTCATATCTCTGACCTTAAATCGAAAGTATTCAGTTGTTTAAACGAGTTCTTAATAAGTAGTGTTTCAATCTTGTATTATAACATTATCTTCCGGGTAACCTTGTCCTGTTGTTGACATTCCGATAATTAATATTTTGGAGAAATTATACTCCGATAATACTAGTATAGCACGTGTGCTTTCCTTTACTTATATGAGACCATACTTTTTATTTTTAGAAGTGATGGATGGAGTCTACTACGAATCTTAATAAATGTTGTTTATTCATAAATTCATAATTTAAATATTTCATTTTAGTACTCGAAGTTTCTCATGAAAAATTTTAAATTTTAAAGCATTTTGTTGGGTCAGTTATTAGAATTCATTTTAAACAAAACCTTTTTAATGTATTTATATGTGCTTAATTTAAAGTAAATTAAGTTAAATAGCTTTTGTATTTTACTCGCTAATTTGGGAGACTGGCAATTGAATATCGTAACTCAGGGTCGTATAAGCAAAGCGACTGAAGATAACATGTCTTCGAGGCCATAAGAGATGCATCTTTATTTTTTATAGTTTTCATTAGTTTAATATGTTCAACTAAAGAAGATTACAAAAACAATTTCTTTATCATATTCATGACTATAATCGTTTTATTTCCCGATCGAATCTCAAAAGTCTTTGACGGAGAATAAATCCTCTTATTATAGATTTAACCTTTTTTTTTATTTGGTTATTATCTTTCTTCACATGCTTTTGACGTTCTTTTTTTTGCAAATAGTAAATGATTTTATAAGAGTCGTATTTTTCCTGTAGTGTGTTTAGTTAGCGATAGATAATTATTAAAACTTAAAACCCTTTGTATAGTTTTATTAATATTGTCATTAGCAGATCAGCTGTTCATTATTACACTTACCCTATGTCCGGGTGATCTTATCATTGTCTAAAGTAAACCTAGATAAATTAAGCATCCATTCTTTAACCAATAAAATAACAACTGTTATAATTATCAATTATCGACCAGATATTTTACCGCATAAGACTAAATCTCTTTAACGATAGGAATTCATTTAGAGAAGATTTTAATCCTTTTTTTTTACAGTTTTTTATGATAGTAATATTATAATCAATGGGAAATATAACCAAAATATTGTTCGACTAATAAAGATATTTTTAAGCTTTAAAAAGTAAGCTCGAAAGCCAAATACAACTACTGAAAAATGAAAAATATATGAGATGAGGCACACATAATAATATATTGATAATACACGTGTAAACAACTGACGATTAAGACACTTCTATTGACCATTTAATTGTGATTTAACTTTAAAAGTTTTCATAACAGATGAAAATTTATATACAGGTCAAAATCATAAAAATAAACCAAATCTGTTAATGATATCACGGTATAAGTAAAAAATATATCACTATTAAAAATATGGTCATTTTATTAAAAAAATCACATTTGATTCTATCTATTGACATCCCACTAATATAATAAATGCAAAAGTTTGCGAGAGTGGATATATCTTCTTTTTCTTTGTCGTTTTGCTCTTGGCAGAGCGGTTGTGGTCACGTCGAGGTGTCCATGTCAGTATTAGAGGCAGACAAAGCCTTCATTTCGATCTCCCTCCATCTTTCCCTATTTCCGAACTGGAACATGGATATATGCACGTTTGTTATTCTTTCACGCAAAAACTACCGAACGAATTTTGATGGATTAATACATACGCTAATTTTTATACTACTAAAACCATTTAGTGGTAAATTTATTTCTAGGGAACCATCCCTATGGATAAATTTACTGACAAGTAAACCAAGGGATCAAAGTCGGTGGCAAAAAAACTAATCCAATTATAAACGAAACGACAAAACTAATTTTGAGCCCATTAAATCTGTATTGAGACAGATAGTCTACAACATATTGTATAACCTGTTACACTTTCCATAAAAAAGGTGCTCGCAATCATCTACAAAGTGTCGCAATATCGTTGTTCTGATTGACATAACCGGGTCAAATACTTCTTAATCACGTTGGGCGTATCAAGAACACAAGTTGATTCCATTACGCTGTTTCTTGAATAGCATAATGGACCTTTCAGGTAAATCTATACTCCTGGAATAGCCCTATGTATATACTGTATTAAAATTCTATTGGCGAGCTTACGAATATGATTTGGAAATGCAACAAAAATTGTAATCGCAATTATAATCAGTATTTTCCACGAATCCTTATAATTCGTCGGCGGCCCGTTTTCTTTACTTCATTACCCTTAATTTTGAATAGAACGAACGTAATAAGCTCTTTCAACAGGGGCCATTGATATTAGTAAAAAATATCTTTGGAATTATGCTTTGAAATAAGGTTTTTCCACAATAGATGAGAATGCTGGCAAATTGCTTTGAAAATCATAATTTTTACTACTTAAAGTAATTTAGTAGTCACAAAACGGTCATAAAACCGAAAATATCAGTGTGTGGGCTGATTTTATTAGGCATTTTAGGAATGATTTAACAGTGTAACATTATTTAAATTACAAAGTTTTTTCTTTTGAAGAAATTGATCCAATTATTATGAATAGATGCTTTCGATGTTTGGAATTGAATTACGATTTACTATATATTTTTTTCAAGAATCTTTTTAAGGTTAGTTGTCGGACAACATTAATATACCGGATTTACAATTAACAATAACATTTTCCTAGGCTCATATAAAAATGCTAATAACAAGAACACGCTGATAACGTACTGGCTTTTATTTGACACAAGTTATCCGGAAATAATCAATTGCAAAATTTAATGCTGATATGTAATATCAAACATTACTGGGAGCGAATGCCATTTACAATGCAGCCAGCTAAATAAATCCTATACGAGTCACTGACATCAAGAGTAGGAAGCAATATAAAACATCAAATGTTACATTTGGTGTTTATGACCTCACCAGATACGCAATAATGTTTGGGTAAATCGAACGTATGAAGAATACTAAGCATGCAAATTTTGTTTGCGAATATACTCGTGCGAAAAAATCCGTAGCGCGCTGCAGAGCTATAGACAAATATGTCAGTTTTTTTTTTATAAAATTTGTACTGCGTTTATAAATTGAATTATATAAGTTAAATTGGAATGTAATTTCAAGCAAAAATAAGCTCTGTTATGAGCTCTCTTACATTTGTACATATATTAGATACACTCATACTTATTTTTAGCGTTATTGAA